CATGTCAGAGGCAACAGCTCTGGTGGACATTCAACAGTATCACTTTACAATCAGATGACCTTTATAAAGGATTTATGAATGGTTGATAATTAGTTTATTAATTAGATTCTTAACACTTATAAATCATTTATTATCTGTTATAACACATTAGATAAAAAGGGTAACAGTGACCTGCTGCTTGCCAAATAGTGAGCCCACATGTCTCTGTACTGTTCAGCCTCATGTCTCATTAGTTACTGAGCTTCCTTTGTTTTCTCCATCATCAGCATTTGTACCTGCTGCTTCATCACTTTTGTTCAGTTACTATCAATGAACCACCGTCAGCATCTTAATGCTCAAACAGTTGCATATGGCAGATCAAATTATGGCAGATCACATGATCATATCAAGTGACCAGATTCATCCTCCACCTGTGCAGTAATCAGCATGTTGATACGACACACCTGCCAGGTGGAGGGACACGTTCTCACTGACACAGATTGAAACACATCTGTGAAGAAATAAACCCCCTGTGTTTGTAGAAGAAATCTTATCTAATCTTTTGTTCAGTGTATAATCAGCTTCCATCTGGTTTTATTGGGACGACACCATCACACCACTCTGCTCACATTCACTCCTCCAGGCAGTGGTTTGAACTCCACTTCATCATCATCAGGTGCCTACAGGGAAAATAATGCTTCACACTGATTTCAACAAGATGGAATCTGTTAGAATCCAGTGACAGAGGATTGGATCTACAGGCTGTCAGCTGATGACAGGAGGTTCACATCAGATCACATTTCAGACTGACTACTCCCACCTTGTTCTCAGAGCCAGGATGAGTCTGACTCCTCACACAGTCTCTGCCCTCAGGCAAAATGAATCATTGATGTGAAAACACTGTGCAGCTCCTCCTCAGCTGTAAGTGAAAGCTCAGCAGATGAGTTTTATTCATTAGCTCTAAACCTGACCAGATGAAGTGTACTGCTGGAACGTTTAGACCTGGAGGAAGTGATTTTGCTTCACATCATAGGAACTGACTCTCTTCATCAGAGACTCGGAGAAGAAGAAAGATTCTTTTTCAGTTTATTTTTGACCCCTGTAGACGCACTGAAAAAACATATCTACTACCATTTAGCACTGGAGAAGAGTTAAAGAAGAGCACAGGGCACGTCGTGTCCTGCAAAAGCTGTCAGTGTGTTGTGGCTGAAGGCCTGTGCACTAATTTGGGCTGTAAACGAATATTCTACATTTGATTATACAGTGGCAAGAAAAAGTAAGTGAACCCATTGGAAATTACCTCCATTAATGTATAAATTTGTCCTTATGGTCAGATCCTCATCCAAGTTACAATTATGAACAAACACAATCTATTTTAACTAATTACACACAAATCACTCTTTTGTTCTTGTGCATATTAAAAAGATCATTCAAACTATCACAGTATAGGTTGGAAGGAGTCTGTGAACCCCTCGGCTGATCACGTCATCAGAAGCTAACTGGAGTCAGGAGTTATCAAACCTGGAGTCCAGTCACTGAGACCAGACTGGAGGTGTGACTTAGAGACACTGTGATTATAAACAACACTAAAACATTTACATTGATTAAATGTTTTATGGACTGATGAAACTAAGGTTGACTTGTTTGGGAAAAACCTGCAGCACTATGTGTGTGGTGTAAAGGGCACTGCATTCTAATATCCCAACATCATTATCCCAAAGGTGAAGCAGGGTGGAGGGAGCATCATGATTCGGGGCTGATTTTGCCGCCTCTGGACCTGGGCAGCTTCACAACATCATTGAGGGGAAGTTCCCAGGTTTATAAAGGTTCTCTTCAGGATCATGTCAGGGCAGCTCCACCTGCTGAGTGATGCAGCAGAACAATGACCCTAAACTTCAAAGTAAATCGACTTCAGAATGACTTCAGACAAAGAAAATCCACCTTCTGGAGTGGTCCAGTCAGAGCCCAGACCTTAATCCAGTAGAGATGCTGTGGACCGAGCTGAGGAGAAACATGCAAACCAGACATCCTAACAATATGTCTGAACTGCAGCAGTTCTATAAAGAAGGATGGTCCAAAATTCCTCCTGAACAGTGGCGGCTGCTGGTCTTATAAGGAGGGGAAGCTCGTTTTCGGCCTACATCATAAAATGTGTCCGTTTATTTATATGTAAATTCGCAGAGTGACAGAAGAGAGTCGCCAAACACAACGCTAGTCGTTTTTAACAAAGACAAAGTCGCTGAGGATCAGTGACGTCTCCAGATCAACTCCGAACAACGGAATGAAAAACTTGAAAAATGCTCCGGTGGATGCTTATACTTCAAGATCGCTGATTCGCTCATTTCGCTGGCAATCAAAAAGGGACTCAGCCTCAGACAGATCATCCAATCATCATGCAGAAGCCGAGCGTCCGGGCCAGCCCACTGCCCCATAGACCCCCAGAGACGCTGAGCGCCCGATGGGCGGGACAAAGCCCAGCATTTATCCAATGACCGTCTAGTTTCACTGCAGTGGAACAACCCACTCTGTGCTTCCCCGTTGAAGTCAGTAGACGCTCGGCGTCTACACTGTGTAAAACACTGTGGCGCTGCGGGGATGAATGAGAAGGAAGTCGTGTCGGTTACCTGTGATAAGTAGCTGATTCTGAACAAAAGATGAACGTGTTCTAGCGCATATTTAGTCAATGAAATGTTCACACAACAGTACATATTTGACCACTTATTTTGTTGACATTTTAGGGGAAGCTGAGCTTCCCTTGCAGTCTTAGAGCAATCGCCGCTGCTCCTGAACATTGGGCAGGTCTGATCAGCAGCTAGTGAAGAGCTGGTTTCAGGTTCTTGGTGCCAAGGTTCAACCAGTTATTAAATTCAAGGGTTCATTTACTATTTCCAACAGCACTGTGAATGTTTTATGGCTGTGTTCAATAAAGACACAAAAGATTATAATAGTTTGTGTTACATTAGCTTAGAGACACTGTGTTTGTCTACATTTGTGACTTAGATAAGTGTTGGAATACTTTTTCTTCCACTGTATACTTTAAAAAAGCAAATTCTGTTGTGAAAATTAATACTTTTTCCGATTGTAAAAAAAAAAAAAAAAAAAAAAATTACCACCTGGTGGTTGTTTCCTCCACCAACCAGTGTTGTTGAAGTTACAGTAAATATAGTTAGGGGTGTTTTTGCAGAACATTATGATGTCACAGTGAACTTGACCTTTGACCTTTTGGATATAAAATATCATCACTTCTTCATTTCATCCTGTTAGACATTTGTGTTAAATTGTGTCATGGTGTATGAATAAGTAACACATAAGTTATGGCCAAAAATGTTTTTTTGAGGTCACAATGACCTTGACCTTTGACCACCAAATTCTAATCATTATCCTTGAGAGCAAGTGAGTGTTTGTGCCAAACTTTGAAGAAGTTCCCTCAAGGCTTTACTGAGATATCAAGTTCACGAGAATGAAACGGACAAACAACCGGAAAACATAAAGCCTCCGCCCCTGACTGTCACCACAGGTGCCTGCTTCGCCAGTTCTCCCATGGTGCACTGCATGATGGACAGGAGTCACACATAACCATCACTGACTGAAAATGAAATGTTCAACTACAACCATGTGGTAATGATGGCAGTGATTTAGACTGTGAGCATCTAAAACGCTCAGTTTGGAAACACATTCAATTTTAGTCAGTAGAAGATAAAGTTGTTGTTTAAGCTCTGTGATTCTCAGTTAACCTGCCAGTCCAGCACCAACGACCTGAGGGCACATTTCACATATACGAACCCAAATGAGCAAGTATACAAGTAGTTATGTCTCTCGACTCTCTTTGTGTTGGTTTGCAAAATAATAGACATTTGAATGGTTCAAACCTACAAGGGGTTTTTTTGGAGTAACTGAAGGTGATTTTCAACAGCACAAGCACTTATACAAACCAGCATGAAAAAGTGATGTATTTTATTTGCGTAAAAAGGCACATTTAGAGGACACACAGTACAGAGAAGAATGTTGTTTCACTAACAGAAAGGTGTTTAGTAACTTCTGTGTCTGACAGTGTCCAACTGCCTGAAACTGGAGAAAATAAATTAATTTCCTTCTTATCTAATTCCAGGTCAATGTTAGCATCCTGCTGCACTGTTAGCATCCTGATGCACACAGCACAGTTATGGTGGGCAATTATTTTGCAGGAAAACAAGCAAGAATCAATATGTATATATGATATTATGAGATTTTCTTTTTAAACTAACGCATATCTAAGACATGATGACATCATTTGACCCATCAGACCTTTCTAGTTATGTCCCAGTGGCTCGCTATAGACTGACTCTAAATGGCTTTGGTGTATTAACACAGAGGGAAAATGACTCAGTGACATATGCATAGAGAAGGGATGTACAGGCTAAACTTTAGAGGGAGAGGCTGGGTCACAAATCACAAATCAGCTCTCGTTAGGCCACACTTGTATCAGGCTGTGGTTGCTGATCTAGTTTAGAAGGATCTGTAGAATCTTTGGTCATTTTCTTATTTAACCTTTTCTGAACAAAATCTGAATAGTCTGAGCAGTGAGACTTCTTCTACAGAGAGGTGCAGGGACGATGTATTTTTGTAGACTAACCCTGAAGTTATCTTCCCCCTGGTTCCCTCCACTAACAGTCAATGGGATTTTAACATTGTCTCTTGGATTATTAGAGAAAATAAACAACAGTTAATGATCCTGACAGGTTTAGTTCAGCAGGATCATCTTCACTAATGAACTCCACTTCATGATGTTTGAAGCCTCAATACAATCAGCAGAAGTAAAGAGCTAATGTTAGACTATAAACCAACTACACCACGGTCACATGACTTCAACACCACAGTCACATGACTTCAGCACCACGGTCACATGACTTCAGCCTCACCACCACTAAACTTCAGCTTGTAGTTTGATTCAGCTCTGACCTCTTCTTCCAAAGCCTTTCCTCTGACGGAGTTAGAGACAGTTTGTATAAACACAACCAGGCTGTAAAGGTGGACTGGAGAGTAGATCAGTTTTCATGTTCAACGTGATGATGTTTAACGTCCCGGACAACCTCTGCAGTCTCATTTAGACACTTGTTAACAGACGTAAAAGTGGAAAATGTCTTCTTTCAGTCATCTAACCAGAAACATTCAACAAAACCAGAGACTTTAGGACGAAGGAACTGGAGGGGCTAAAATGCAACTCATTTGCAGATTATAGGACTCCATCATCATCTCCATTATAATCTCATAGTACCATACAAAGCAGTACCACAGGTTGCCCGACAGATGTCGCCATTTCAACTGCATCTAATGTTTCAAAACAAAGAGCAATTTTCCTCTTAGTTGGCCACTTCTCTAGCCCCATGTTCACTGTTAACCAACTGATTCATGGGTATTTAAAGAATACATGGGCATATGCCTCACTAAAGCACAATATCAACTGATACTATACTATACCTTAGCAGATCTCAAGTTCTTGTTAAGTTTACACATTGAATGTTTCCAAATTCATTTGTGCTTAATAATCACCACATAGTAAATTATTACATAGATTCAGCATAAGCGACGAGTGTAGGAACACCATTACTGCATAACAAAGGGGAGGAATGTTGGGTTAAAAGTGGCCCCGGGGCCTCCGAGCAAAGAAGACACAGGAGTCATTTACAGCTACATGTTAAAACAGGCGGGTGGTGTGTTGATGAAAGAAACAAAATAAAGTCCTATAGAGAAACATTTTATCCTGTTTAAGGTCTGAAACTGTCAGTAGTGTCAGGACATGATACAAAACAGCACGTCAGTTAACTGAATATTAATAACCAAAATAATGCACAGACAACTCTAGTGGAAAGGTGAGTTTACAGTGAAGTATACAGTATCTGAGTCATGGCAGGTCCACATTATATGAAGTCTAATTGGGTCCAGTAGGGTCATGTCAAAGTGTTGGTGTTCTGGAACACAGAATACAACTGGGACGCGGTCTGAGTTTTAGTCTCTACAATAACATAAAGGAAACTAGATATTGCCGCTGTTTGAATGAAGGTTCTTGAGATTAACAGACATGATGTGTAAGAATCTTTCAGGAAGTTAATGGTTAAGTTTTCTTTAAAGCCTGAGTTGACGACAAAGACTTGACTTGAGATCTGACGTGTTGAACATCAGGAAACATCTGTGCGAAATGTCGCAACCAGCGTCTTTAAAGAAATGTGCATTTGGCTTTGCCCCATAAGGACCGATGAGGGCTTGATGGAGGAGCAGGAAGGAGCTTCGCTGTCCCATCAGGTGGTTTTTACTCCAACGTGTCTCCACCTGTCGCCCGAACCCTCCAGCCTCACACAGTCCTGGGCGGCAGCTGCTGTTTGTAGATTCCAGCCAGAGCTTTGGCGGCGCTGTGGATCATCTGACGCTGGCTCATGCCCGTCACAGCCTGATGCCAGTCTGTCCTGTTGATGTTGGGCAGGCTGCGCTCCAGGACCTCCCCCACTGGAACAATCAAACCCGACCAGCGCAGGCTGTAGTCAGGAGGGGTCAGGGAGTGAGCCTGCACGGGGAAAGGTACACAAACAGGTTGATGAGCTACTGGAGGAGGAAGAAGTGACTGATACTGAAGAAATTCTCTGAGGCTGAAGCTGAAATTTATCTCCATTAATGACAATAAACAAAGCTGCAGCTACAGTGGCTGAAAACTGAAGTGGCTACAGATGCAAGATGAAGGAGACACTTGTAATATTTCAAGATTTAAAGGTTCTGTAAACAAGATCTTTATGTAAAGACATAGTAAAGTAATGTCATCGTAATCTGAATTCAGGAAGGGTGGCATGTGCATGTTGGTGCATGTGAGTCCCTCCTGTTAAACTGTTGGCCCTCCCAATGTTTATAAACACACAGGCCCCGCCCACAGGTGAGATGACAGTGCAGTACTCAGCTTTCAGTTGAAAGTGACAAAGAATTTCCTGAAATGTCTGAGATGCTGGGGGTCTACTGTGACATCTAGTGGCAGTGATGACCGCTTACAGAACCTTAAAGTCTTTCACAAGACAAGTATTTCTAGTATGAAGCGTGGTGTTTATTTGAACAGGCTGCTGGGTTGTAGTGAGCAGCTGAGAGTGTTTTCATCTGGAATGTAAAAAGCTGATTTTTACATTTGACCTGGAAGAGATTGAGCGATGTGATGGTAAAGAATCATATTATCAGAGACATTAGGACACTGAAATGAAACCAAGTGTAACCTGAATGTTATTTAATCGACCTGATCTAATTGATGATTGATAATTGTTATGTCAGTGTTACAATTGTAAAACTGCATCTTGCTGCTATTTGCTGATTTTCTGGACTTGAAATAAAGAGTTTATACTGGCATTACACTTTTTTCTTAAAATTTTCAACTTTATCCACAAAAGTTTTTTTTCCAAACAGTGGCCATGATACTCTGTGCAGGTCTGGCTGCATCCACACGTAAACATTTTCATTTTAAAACAGTGTTTTAAATCATCTCTGTCCAGACTATCACATCTGAAAACACATACCACATGACCATTCACGTTCACTGGGCATGTGCGTAACAGGAAGTAGATTGTCTATTCTGCAGTTGGTTGCTTAGTTGCACAAAATACAATGAACAAGGAGCAGTAAAGGTGAAGAGTAAGTACGGTCAATAATGCCAGTACGTGTCGTCTAACTAACTAACTGTTAGTCAAAATCTCTGTTTCTGTTCATCCAGATTAAAACATAGTCCCGGAGTAAAACTGGGCAACGTTTCTACAAGTGTTTTAGGGACTCAAAAATTCCAGAGTAGTGTGGACACCAGGTGTAAATAATGATATGTTTTGAAACTAAAACACATTAGTGTGGATGTAGCCTCAAAGTTGTTGATTAGTACCTGTTGGACGTGATCTAGAGCCAGAGGAGTTGCCTGAGTGAAGACCTCGATGTGGATGCTGTAACCAGGGTCCTCCAGGATCAAACAGCCAATGTCAAACCACCTGTAGAAAAACAGTATATATATGACTGTGTTCAGGCTGTGTCTGACTGGACCTCATGAGTCAGTCCGGCCACCAGACACTCACTGGTGAGCCACCCTCCCAGGTGTGGCTCCAGGAGGGGGCCCCAGCTTTCCTGGTCAGTGGCTACTGAGATTCAGTGTGTCAGGAGAAGATGAAAACATTCAGTCCATTACACTACAGACTACAGCTTCAATCCAAAGGCCCTGTTCACTGCAGGGCTGTTGAACTGGCTATTTCACTGTGCAAGCTTTGGTTCTGTGTGTGTGTGTGTGTGTGTGTGTGTGTGTGTGTGTGTTGCTGTCAGTCTTCTTACTTGTCAGGGAAGAGTTCAGCGATGAAGTTTTCCGTAGAGACCACAGGCTGTTTCTCATGGATCACACCAGCTCGACGCAGGCTGTCAATACGTTCCTGAGCCCCCTACACACACACACACACACACACACACACACACACACACACACACACACACACACACAGAGAGTATGTGCATGACTGAAACTGAAAACCCTTCACAACAGACACTGCAGGGAAATGTGCTACATTGCCAATGCTGCCTGTAAATTAAAGGTGGGGACAAAATGTTGGTACAGATTATATTGTATAACTTCCTCTTGTGCCAAATATCGACATCTTTATTAAAACATGAAGGCAATGTAAACGGATTCCCCCGCTACACACACAGGCTTCATGATGAGGAGTGGATGAGTAAGCAGTCACTGTACACACACACACACACACACACACACACACACACACACACACACACACACACACACACACACACACACACACACACACACACACACACAGCATCTTCCTGTCATCTGAACAGCAGTGAACTGACCTTGACGCCGGCTGCGTAGCCCACAGGCTGTGGGGCAATGTTGGACTGACCAGGCTCTCCAGTGACCATGGCCATCCCAAAAACCTCCTGGAAGGCATCTCTGACTGCATCCACATTCATCTCCTTATCTGAAGTCACCACAATGTCAATGTCCCCACCAGACTCTGGAGAGTAACAACACACATACACATTTATTTCTTTATATTTGAACATTCAGTAAGATTTCTTCATCATGGAGGAATGTAGTGCACACTCACTGATGTATGGAGCCATGCCGGGATCCAGAGTGGTGATCATGGACTCTACAGAGTGTTTGGTTTTGTCCAGGACTGTCTTCACTACAGCGTTACCTGCTACTCCCTGAGGACACACACAGACACACACAGAGTTAACTCAGTCAGGATCAAACTATAGTGAAAAATACCACAGGAGGAGGGAAGATTGCATATTACATCTTTAAATCTTGTGTTATCAGAGTCCCATATTTTAGCTGCTACCTGGCTGCTCACTGCAACTTTGATTGTTTAGACATGTACTTGTGGTTTCTAGAGTTTCTAATACTACAATGGGAGGCAGAGCCTTCAGCTATAAGGCTCCTCTCCAGTGGAACCAGCTCCTAGTCTAGGTTCAGGAGGCAAACTCCCTCTCTACATTTAAGATCTGGATCAAACTGTCCTCTGAGACAAAGCTTATAGTTAGAGCAGACTCAGGAGAGCCCTGAACCATCCCTTAGTTATGCTGCTGTAGGCCTAGGCTGCAAGACAAGACGGGACGTGCCAGGACTAGCTGGTTAGAGTTATCATTGGTGTTTGTTTGGTGAGTGAAGGAATGAAGTAGAAGTAGACTGGTAAGTAAACAGCTGCCAGTGCTAACATTATGCTTAGAGTGGTGTTACCTTGATGAAGCCCCAGAGGCCTCCACCAGTGTTGATGTCTCCAGACACTCTGGGATCTTCCTGCTCCTCTGGGAAGGTGATGGGAGATCCAGTATCCAGCCCTCCTGTCATGGCTGGCTGTTGGACCATGGCGCTGGACACCACACCTGCAAGATGGTTAGATTATTGTGATACAGTGTTCAGAGTTTAGGGATCAAAAGTCTGGAGATCTCAGCCTCTAGCCTCATGACTTTATGGAAAATCTATTACTTTTCTAAAACATAAAATGAACATGAAAACCCAATGAACACCACCAAGATAGATATACATGTATATATTCATTATATATTCACAGTACATTATTTGCATGGGTGTATGGGACAGTAACTTCTGCCCTGTCTTCTTCTCCTAGGATCATTTTTTATTGCGTCATTTAGCTGATACTTACAGAATTGAAAAGAATAAAGTAAATGTTCCTTGTTTAATTTTTCATTTCACTTTTAATAATAATAATAATAATAATAATAATAATAGTTCATAATCACTGGAGTGCTGTTCAAAGTCACTGGTTAGCGTTTTACATTAAATCAAAACTATTTGTATATTCAGTATTTTCAGGATTCAAGATGACAAACTGAGCTCTGAGAAGATTCTGATATCTGACAAAATACTGATAAGAAGAGTCCAAGTATATGTGACACAACACATGATTTCAATGCCATTTTGTCTGTGCAGCATGTACAACCTCCCTACTCTGTCCACTAGAAACCTACAGTTCTGACTGTGACCAGATTCAGAGTGAGTTAACAGGTTCCACAAGTTCCTGTTGTTCATTTCCTGCTACTGATTCAGGAAAAATCCAACTTATTTCAACCTGGTGTATTTCGCATAAATGTAGTTATTGTGACTCTATGGGTCGCACCAACTTTGCACCCATCAACTCCATCAAAGAAATTGATCTGCACTAAACTATACTACTGTCATCCCTCTATTCTTATTTCTTATTTCTTGTGACTTTTCTGATCTGAAACAGGGACTCACGCAAAACAACATGTATCAGGGGGAGTTGCATCAACCTCCTAAAGGCTTTTCATACAAACATGATTCTTACATGAATCTGAGTCTTACCAAAAGTGAACACACACAGTAACATATGATCGTCAACCATTTAGGCGTGAGCCAGTATTAGTAATGTGTTCCTAATAAAGTGCTTGAAGTAACTTGTTTTAGTATGTTTTGGATGAAATATGCTCCAAAACAGATCTTACTGTGGAGAGGTGCTGTCAAATGCTCCTATGACCCAGAGTTATTGAACAGCCTGAACAGCAGCTTGCAAGCTGCAAGCTGTTTGACCGAGCCTCGCCCTTCTAACCAACCAGAAAAGGCCAAGGTCAGGCTGCCAATCAATACATGAACTACCCCTCTTGCTCCAAGGCATCATGCTGGTATGAGCTGCTGGAAGATCACTCTGGCTGACTCACAGACACTTCCTGCCTCAGCTGAGACAGCCAACACGGCCCCACAGTGTAATGATTCTGAAACTGTGATACAAACGTCCACGATCTTGTGTCACAATGCCAGAGGACAGAAGAGGCTGTTGAAGAAGAGGAGTCACAGAGCAGACGAGTGTGGCTCTTACCTGGCATGGTGGCAGCACTGGAGAACGTTGGCATCAATGGCGTCTGTGGTGTTCGACCAGCGTGACCCCGTGTGATGTCATACCCTGCACTCATGGAGAAGCTGGACATGGGCGGCCCTGTGGGAGGGGCCGACATGCCGGGAGCCGAGGTCTGAGGTGGTCTGATGGGGGAGGCCAGAGGAGGCAAGGAGGGGGACGGGGAAGGAGGGAAGGGAGAGCTGCTGGTGAAGGGGGAGGCGAGTGTGGAGGGAGGAGGGAACTGGGAGGAGAGGGAGGAGAGGGAGGGGGGCGCGGCCAGAGGGCTGCTGAAGGCAGGGAGGGAGGGGACAGAGGGGAGAGTGGTGGAGACTGAGGGCGAACCGATGGAGAGGGAGCTGGTGTCTGGGAGGGACAGAGGGCTGGACAGACCTGAAACCAAACAGCTACAGTCACACCTCAGAGATACTGTGTCTTCTGTCAGGAGATCAGAGATTCAGTCAGATACCAATTGTCATTATATGACAATTGGTATCTGAATTATAATCAATCATTTTCAATCCACTAAGATACACTGGCCTTCATTTATTCTACATAAACAAACATTTTCATAAGAGTCCTTTAAATTTCTTTTTTAAATAGTTGTGTCCAAGATATTATGTACTGAGCCGCAAGGTTGTTACTAGACTGTAACTATACATGAAAAAACATTTTCATCAACTGAAATAAAAAAAGACATAAAATACAAAAAAAAAATAGTTAACTAAATCTGTATCGTGTGTTTACAAAACTAAACTAAACTAAACTAAAATAACAGAGAACATTTCTTTAGTTTTGGTCTCTGTCAGTTTATTTCATACATCAGTCTGTATTATTGATGAACTTCAGTGATGAGCCACAGAGCTGCAGCTGGACAGTCCAGTTCACTGATGAGTTCATGTTCAGTTGGTTTAAATGAAACACAACCACACACATGTACACTTCAGGCTGCATCTGGTCTACACTGTTTACATGTCTGTGCCCAGGTCTACACTTTATGTTCTGTTGTTGTTGTGTCCAGTTGAATGTTTCTGGTTAATGACACAAGCACACTGACCAACACCCTCAGTGAATACATCCAATTGTTTGACTTTTTCTGACCTTTTTGAATCTCGCCCCTTATCAAAAAATAAAAAACTAAACAAGCCAACCTTTTTAAAAACTAATTCAAACTAAACTGAGATTGAAAACAAAAAGTCAAAAACAAATTTAAAAAAACTAATGAAAAATATTAATGACCTTGCTGAGCATGACTATGTGATAAGATCATTTGTAGTCAGTAATGGAAGATTTTCTGCTTCTCCATAATTAAAGTCATCATTCCAGGTGATGGGTGATAATGGAATAATGGATTACCAATCTGAAGTTTGTCTGTACAAATTTGACTTTCACAGCACATGTCTTACCTATGGTCATTGGTGGAGCGCTGACTGGGGCAGCTACAGTCAGAGGAGGAGTAGGAGTGTGGGGGGTTTAGTCTCAATTCCACTCTCTTCCATCATCTTCTCGGCCTGATACCTGAACTTCAACCCAGGAGTATAGCTGCAATAAGATGTGAGGAATTAGGATGTGCTCAACTTGTTGTTTAGTATTCTTTTCTTTATTTATAACCGTATAAAAAAGTCGGGTTGGTAAAGTGAGCCTGTTCCAGAACAGGCACGCAGCAGGCTGTCATACATACCCCGAATGACAGGCACACAGAGAAGGCCGGTAAAGACACTGACTGGCCAGACTTCCATCAGAGTGAATATCATTCATTCATTCATTGTCTAACCGCTTATCCTCT